TTTTCTTTTCCACTTGCGCTGGGAATCATATTTTTGATTCCTGAGTCCAAAATAGGATCTTTAATAGATGAGTGACCACAGGTAAATTTACTAATGCCTCCCACCTTAGTTTCTATAGAATGGATAGAGTGCCCTGGCTGATGTGCCTCAGTGGATTGAGTGCTGGCCTGAGAATCAAAGGGTTGCCAGTTCGATTCCCAGTTGGGACATATGCCTGAGTTGTGGGCCAGGTCCCCAGTGGGGGCATGTGAGAGGCAGCCGGTCGATATATCTCTCACACATCGATGTTTCTCTCCCTTCCTCCCTCCCTTCCCATCTCTCTAAAAATAAATAAAACCTAAAATAAAATAAAGTGGATATAGTAATAGTACCTATTTTAGGATTGAATTAGTTAACATAGATTTTAAAAGCTTAATATAGCACCTGGTATATAGTGAGTGTTCAGTAGATAGTAGCTGCTATTATTGTTATAATTATTGAATAATAATATCTTGTACTTTTTAGATTAAAACTGTTTAGATTAAAAATCTCTTAGTCTCATTGAATTTCTCTGCAATACCACCATGATTTTTGACTTCCATCATCCCCATCCAAAGCCAGTGAGTTAAGCTGAGGTGGAACATTCCTGCTTCTCCTGTTTACTCTCTCAGAAAGGAGAACCTTGTCCTGGCTGGTGTGGCTCAGTTGGTTGAGTGTCGTTCTGTAAACGGAAAGGTCTCTGGTTCAATGCTTAGATTGTCAATTTGGTCCCCTGTCGGGGCACATATGAGAGACAACTGATGGATGTTTCTCTTTCACATTGATGTTTCTCCCCCTCTCTCTCTCCCTCCCTTCCCCTCTCTCTCTTTAAAAAAAAAAAAAGGAAAGCATTTGCCAGGTAGCTTAGTTGCTTGGCATGTTGTCCTGATACAGTAAGATTGTGGGTTCAGTCCCCAATAAGGGCACATATAAGAATCAGCCAATGAACGTATAAATAGTTGGGATAACAAATTGATGTTTCTCTTTCTCCCCCACCCTTCCCACTAAAAATCAATACTTTTTTTTAAAAAAGAGACAACCTTGAAAATAGAGCTGAGGGGACTCTCCTTTGAGCTTCAGGGGGTTTTGAAGCCTGGGCCAGAGGTTGCTTGCTGACAATACCCCTAAATATTGCCGCTGTGCCCTGCAAATCGCACATTTTAATGGCCCTGTGTTACCATTTAAAAGCTGTGAGGGTTCAGATCCATTCTCCCAAATAAGCAATCTCTGCTGGGGAATCTGGGGGGAGGGGATAAAGCGGGCCTCTTCTCTTGGAGTGGTGACCTGGGACAAGGGGGACATAAGAGAAGTAACATTTATATAAACTCTTTCCACCGTTTGCCAGTCTCGGTACCAGGTGCTTGGCATTCACTGACTGTTTTATCCTCCTGACAGTTCTATGGGGAAGCGCCCTCCCCATTTCATGGATGCAGCTGAGGTTTCCCATGTGTTAAGGCAACATTTCCGTTAGCTGTGGAACCAGGATTCTAACCAAAGAGTATTGAACTCCCAACCAAAGGGTGTTTTCCTCCCAGATATGTATATTGCCTTCCAACTTTAGTTCTGGCGTCAGCTCTCTCTCTAAAAATAGAAACTAAGCTTTTTAGATGAAGACCTGTGCCTCCGCTGTCCCTCTGTGCCCCATCACTTCTAGTCTAATACGTAGTAGAGAAATGCTTGTTGTGTTAGGTTAATGCTGGTATAAACACTCCCCTCTGGTAACTGAGTGGCTTTGCAGTGGGACAGAGCTGAATTCCTCAAGTGAGTAATCTCTTTTTAAAATGCCCATACGTTTTTCAGTGGTTACGAGACTTGACAGGACCTAACTTTGAATTGACTGAAGCACTCCTCGTAGCGTTCAGTCAGCTCCCTGAAGTGACACTTCATCCTAGACCCAGCACCGGCAGCCCGAGGAGCTGTGGCAGGGCAGCTGCTTCTGCGCCGTGCCCCCAGGATGCCCTGCACTGGCGCGAAAAAGCCGGCTACCCACAAGGGGAGCAGGCGGAGGAGCAATTTTCTGAGTTGAGACTCTGGGTTTGAAGCCCCTCTGTCTGTCCCCCCATCTGCCAGTCCACCTGGGGGCTAATCACGGCCAGCGCAGGTCACAGCTCAGGGACTGGGATGCAGTGCCCCAAGGAAGGGCGGCAGGACCCGCGCCCGACCCACCTGCCGCCAGCATTTTTCCTATGATCACGGTCTCCTCCATCTCAGACCCAATGCTCAACCTTAAATAAAAGCAGCTTTAAAAGATGTATTTCAATAGACTTTTTAGAAAGCCCATAAAAAACCCTGGATATAAAGAAATGAGGCATAAAACTCAGAATGTTTGGAAGTCAGGCTGAAAATTGTGGTAGCAAGTCTCCATATCCGTTTATTAAATGTGAGCATAACTTTACAGTCGCACCTAGATGGGTCCTAAGGACCACGTTCCCTGTGCTCCTGCGCTATAGAAACATTTTACCCCCTTCAGTGCCAGAGCACGTTCATCTGGAGGGAGAGAAGCGAGTGGAGTGCGAGGCCGGCCTGGGGAAACTTTAGGTCTGGCTGGGTGTGCGGTCCGTGGGGTGCAGCTCCGGGTTCCTTTCAATGTGCACGTTTTTACCGCAATGGAGCCCCAGAGTAAGAGCGCGCGCACGCGCGCGGCCACGTTCCTGCGCTGTTGTTTTCATTTTCCTCTCATGAACCTTGCTACCCTGGCTTCAGCACGGAGGCTGTAAAGGAAGATGGAGAGCCGAGTTACCTCAGAATGATCACTATCGTTAACATTCACGGGTGGTTCACTTATCATTCCTGACTGCACAGACATGGCAGCCGCTCGGAAGCGTCCGCAGGTGTAGCACGGTGATACATATTACATTGTGCCACAATGGATTTATGTATTCTGTAACAAAAGAAAAGTGTAATGAAAAAATACAGAAGGTAATCCTTTATTCCTCCACCACACAATTTATCAGTAATGCCTGTGGATGATAAGTGCCAGGGATTTCCTCTGCTTGCTTTAACCTTGTCACCCAGGTACATTTTGGTAAAATGACAGAAAAATACAGACTAGGGATTTTCCTCTGTTCAAAAATCTTTTAAAAGGACACTTTTAATTTATGGAAGTTAGTCCAAACACGAGGCTTCCTTTTGAGCTTTTAGTCTGCCTACACTGGAAAAGATAAACATATTGGTTGGAAATAATGCTATCAGCCAGCAGCAGATCAGGAGAGAATGTAAGCAATTTATAAGCAGACGCAAATCTGAAATAGTTCAGGTGGAACCCAGGTGGATGGCGGTCCGTGAGCTCTAGCCTGGTACTAGCGTGTGAGCACCAGAGAACTTGTGTTCCTTTTGAGGCCCTGCTCATCCATCGCCCAACATATTGTCACAGATGGAGCGCACACTGACTTCTGAGGAGAAAGCAGGGGAAGGCAAGTCTGAACGCGGATGATTGGCACTCGCTCCAAACACACCCTGGCCTCGCGCCAGAGCAAATACCCCCAAGTTTATAAATGCACAAGGCACTTTACATTTCAGTACTCTTGCCAAAGTATCACTTACTACATCGCTCCCTAAATATAGTTTTTTTTAAAAAGAGCTATTTCTTATTTTGCTTTGATCAGTAAAATAAACTTTTAAAGATTGTTCTGGGATGGGGTCCAGCTTCTGAGGTAAAGAATGGCCAGGGCTCAGGCATGATTCAGTAACAGAGTGTTCAGTAAAATTAGCTTGACAGTTCTCAGGCCTGCTGTTCGATAGCAAGAACTTGACCAAGTTAAAATGGATGATCGTGCTGGCTAGACCAGCGTCGGCTTTTGCTTTTTAACAAATGGAATGTCAAGGATTAAACAGCAAGCCGTGTGGAGAGGAGGGGTGCGGAGATGTCTTTGTATTAGGGAAGCAAATCGGGTCCTTGGTTTGGAGATCAGCCCCCAGCCCCTGCAGCAAGCCAGCCACCTGGTAGGGTCCGGGGTAGGTTTAAGGTCCCTTCCAGCCTATCCTGCCAGTGGGAAGCTTTTCCATGGCTTAGCTAGGGCTTGGCTTTTCTTTCACATTTCTTGTCCATATGAAGTTCTGCCATGTTTTTTGGCCATGTTCCCCTTTGAGATTCTGGTGGGGAAATGGGAATGCGATCAAACTCCTTGTGGCAATTCCCATGTTCAATAGTTGGAAACTTGGGTCCCATTTGTTACGTGAGCTGCTTGGAATTGGCCCGTTTTGTTCCAGTGCCCAAGCATAGTGAGTAGTGTTTGTGATACTTGCTATTGCAATTACCGGTCTTCGTGAAGTTATGCCTCACCAGGGATGGGCTTCTGTTTTTAGGGTACTTGTTCCTTACCAGCTTTTTCCCTTAGCTTGATTGGCTAGAAGCTTACAAGTGGAGTTAGTGTTTTGCCTCATAATTATTCTGCTTCAGCTAATAATTTTGTTTGACCTTTTAAGACAAAGTAGATTAAAACATTCCTACTGAAGTGTACATAGATTATACATTTAAAAATATATAAATATAGGGTGTTTCTTTTACTGGGTAGTTAAGAGGACCCTTTTCCTTTCCTTATTCGAAATTGCTTTGGGCTGTCATATGCCCCCTCCTCATACACACAAACACATACAACATGACATTTTCCCTCCAGGGCTCCATGAGCTTTAATATGATGGTAGTATCTGCCTGCAGTGACATCTACTGACACAAGCCAAGTTTATCGTTTGTCAGTCCTTGCTACACAGACCCGCACAGTCCAATTAGATTCAATTTGAGATAAATTAGAAACACCTTCCATAACTCCAACCTCTCTTTCACTTGGAACTGTTCATATGGGAATGCTTTCCTTTCTCTGTCTCCGCCTCTCTCCTATTAGAAGTAGGTTTATTTAACCTATTTTTAAATGATTGGCACTTTGATATACACTTATTAAAACTTTCTTAAACACAGTGAAGACTGCAGTGACATCCTTCTGGTTGCATGTTGGTGATAATTTAATATTTGTCTTTTTCTTCAGAAATGCCGCTCATGGATTCTCCCTTATTCAGGTGGACAACACAAAGGTCACCATGAAAGAAATCTTGCTAAAGGCAGTAAAGCGAAGAAAAGGATCCCAGAAAATTTCAGGTAGGATAGTTAAATTATACCCTGGCGATAGCAGCTCAACCCTTACTTAAAAGGTGCGTGGTGTGCGCATGTGTGTGTCTGTGCATATGTGTGCACGTGCATGCACACGTGTGATGTCTAGCTTATGGATGTTTCAGATACGACTGCCAGAAAGTTTGGTTAGCAGGTCTACAATACGAAAAGTGATGTTTTAAGTTGCCCATGGGCCTAAGGAAGGACTGGGTCAGTGGCATGTGTAAGAAGAATGAGTTCATATCAGTTATAGAAGCTTTATCATTAATAATTTGTGATAGATTAAGACAGGCTACTTGGGCTAACTATTAGTTGGTGTAAAGCTGCTTGAAAATTGAATCGATCCTAAATTTGAAGTACTGCTTTTAATTTCATGTTTTCTCATAATGTTCAATGGGGGAAACTTTTTAAAAAAATTGTATTGAATGTGTTGGTGATACTGATTAATAAAATTATATAGGTTTCAGGTGTACAATTCTATAATACATCATCTGCATGTTGTATTGTGTGTTCACCACCCCGGGTCAAGTCTCCTTCCGTCACCATTTATCTTCCCTTTACCGTCCTCTTCCTGCCCTCACCCCCTTTCCCTCTCGTAATCACCACACTGTTGTCTGTGTCTGTGAGGTAGGTATTTTTTTGGTGAGATTTTTTTTCTTAATCCCCCATGAGGGAAACTTTTAATTGCTGGTGCTTGGCGTATGAAATAAAAGGGGAAAAAATTCATTTTTGCCAAATGAAGGCAATTGCAAAAAAATTCTTAAGGCTAAATCACTTGATTCACAGAAATACCTGTTAATCTCTAATTTCTCATTACCCAACTTTATACAGAAAATAAGCTTATGGTATTAGCTGTGATATTTAAAGGATATGAGAAAAAAAATATTACCAATATTGAGAAATAATTATTTTGAAAAATAACCCCAAGATTTGTCATACCACAGACAACTTGAATATAAATCAGCCTGTGTACGACATGTCAGGGTTCCTAGCTTTGTAAATAAATGAGACTTCTTAAACACCTTTGGTTCATCTTTTGGAAAGGAAAAAAAGCATTGTTCAGGTTGAAGAAAATAGTTTTGTGTTCTTTTTAAGGGGAGGCATATAATCTGTTCCAGATTTAATTAGCTATCTTCAGATGAAAGCTGAAGTTTTAATAAAAGTTAGAAGAGATAACACAGTGAAGGACACGGATGAGCTGTCTCAAGGCCATATTCCAGGGGAACGATAAGAGCTGTAAAAAATGGCAGAGGAGAGCAATTGAATGGAGCAATGAAAATCTGATTCTCATAAAAAAGAGAGAGAGAGAGAGATGCTGGTAGGGGCGGTTGTAGATGAGACCTGCTAGCGTCTGCAAGCAATTTGGATGCTTGCCAGGAGTCATTGTTCACCCTCGGCTGTGGCGGCTCCGTCCAGATGTGCCAACTGCACGTTTCGGCTTTTGCCAGCTGACTGCGCCGTTTGATAACCAGCTCTCTGGATGCCCATCACTGGCCGCAGAGATAGAATTAAATGATGATGATCTTCCCACAAGTTGGGAGAGGAAACAATGCATATAAATCTTGATTTCATCTCAGCATGAGAAGTCTTTATCCATCATCACTCATAATGAACAAGTCGTTAGCTGGGATGAATGGTGTTCTGGTTTTTCCAAACACCTCTTTTGTTCATTTTTTGGGTGACTTTTATCCATTGCATGGGGGTCAAACCTCTTTGCATTTAGGGGATGATTAAAGAGGCATACCCTCTCCTTCCCAGGGGAAAGTAGCTATTTTGGAGTTCTAGGTGCCAATCTAAAAGCATTTAAACAGCTTCAGATATTTAAAGATGTTTAATAAGCATTCATCTTTCCTTAGGGTCCTTATTTTTTCTCTTGCTTTGTTCCTAATTTTTTTTTACATAATAGTGCATTTTGTGACAGATTTATTATATTCTAAGATAGCATTATTCTGAATTGTCCACAAGGAGATAGAACTTTTTAAACCTACCTAATAAAAATTGTGCTGTCGTAGATTTTTTACACGATGAAACTTCTATGAACTTGCTTGGATACCACTAAACCATTATTGTTCCCTCTGTCCCCAGCCACCTCTGTCCAGTTGGATACCTATTTATCTACGTCCATCCCCAACAACCACGTTTATCAAACACACGTTTATTTATGTTCACCTTCATATGTACATCCCTGCTATTTCCGTCAGAGTCTTTGCCGTATCCTTGGCAAAGAGTTTGGACTTGTTATCCACAAAACAGTGATCTGCATTATTTGTTCCTTTTCATACTAGAGAAGTTGAATGAGATTGATGTATTTACATAAATTACTGTCCATTTTCTTCATCCAAAATGCTTTTTAAAATAAGAAGCCCTTTCTATTGCTTTATCAAGTCTGGTCTTATGAAATGGAAGGATCTCCAGTTTGGCAAAGATGTTTATTTAAGGTTAGCTTGATAAAGGCAGGGTATGTTTTGTATTTTTGAACTTTGTATTGTGGAATGGACCTGTTTTGGAGGGTAATTAATGAAAAGAAGAAAACCTTCTTGTCATAGAGTCAAACACAAGTACAATACATTTACTAAAAAAAGAAAAAGAAAAAAGTCTGTTAGTGTCCACAGTTGGCTATGAAATTCTTACTACTTACCCACTATGACACACGAACTTAGGAACTTGATGGCAGGAGATGTCAGGTTAGAGACGCTCATCCAGTACTTCCTAAGTCTCTACCACAATGACCTGTTCAGTCTTTGTAAGAAGGTGCCTGGCATCCCTATGTCAGGGACGGAATTAGAGCGCTCAGCACTCTCTTCAGACAGCTTCTGCCTGTCTGTGTTCAGAAAAACACCGAATCTCTTCGCCACTCTCTTAACTTCCGTGAGAGAGGAGAAACACCACTTGAGATTAAACAACATGTGCCAAGTAGAGGTGAGAGTTCTCATACTATCTGTTCAGTCGAGCTTAGTTGTATTAGAACAGGACTTCAGAAACCCCTGATAGGCTGACAGTGAACTTCTGTTGCTTACCCACAGAACCTTTGAACTACTCTCATCTTTTTTCCAGACTGACAACTCTCTGTGTAATAATATTGTAATAATAAATTGAGAACTACTTCATTATTAAATCAAAATGTAGGCCCCCTGCCTGTCCTAACATGTAAATACTCTGCGGCCCTTCCCTCTGGCACTCTTTCCCCAGTTTTCACTTGTAAAAAATCAGAAGGTAAGAGATATTTGAGCACTGGAATTCTTCTTTGTTCAAGTAAGTAGCTTTGTCAATGGAAACCCTTAAGGTTTTAAAATATTTTTGCTTTCTTTGGGTAGAATATCATTATAGAAACTTGTAGCTGATCTAAAATTTCAACTTGCATTATTTGTGATTATTTCATCAAGTCATAACTATTTATGAACACTGCAGGGTTTTTTCTATTAATATTTATGTACTGAACTATAGGAAGCTTTGCACAATGTGTTCCAGTCAGTTCTCTGCTAAGGCTCGTTTTTTTAAGCTCATTTTTAAATGTTTCTTGTAAAGTTTCTCTTCAGCTTTTCATTTTATTACTGACCTACTTGACGTTTGGAATCTACCTGCATTGGCAGAAAGTCCCCACTGTTTAAGAAAAATGTAAATGGAGAATCCAGTTTTAGAAAAATTAGCTGAAACCTCCTTACTAATTTTAACAGTCTGGTGGGTGCGTATTTGACACAATGAAAAGTAGCCTGTCAGGCCCCTTGAGTTAGCCAGTAAAACATACTGGCCTTTCATTTAGCGGGTAAAGGCCTTAGTTCATCAAGCTCTCCTTTTGTCAAGTTCACCCTCACAATCAGTGACCTTCTGAGCTTCTTAGTATTTTGTTGCTGTTTAAAAATGCTGTTTTCCACCAACCCTTACCAGCCTGCTGAAGCATGATGTTGGGGATGACAGAGACACTGGAGAAATTGAAGCAGATCCAATTTCAGTTCTCACATTGACACAGAAATACTGTGTAGCTCTCTCATGATCTGCAAAAGAGAGGAGGATTCAAAGTGGGATTTTCCAAGCAGAAATAGTTTTCTGCAGCGCTCTATTTCAGTATTTATTGTCATTATGAAATGGAGGTGTTTTTCTTTATCATCTGCTGAAAAGCTGAACCAGAAGCTTATTTACTTTTTCTTACCCCATTCTTGTCCAGTCTTTTTCTTGTCCATTCTTGCCTTTTGATGTAAAAAGCAAATTTTAATTAGTCTGAAGATCCTTTTGAAAAGTTCTTATATGTTGTTAAGAATTACGATATTCATTTCTACTTTTACAAAATTTCACATAGGATTTGAAACATAAATATTAGCTTTGTCAAGTGAGCTCCCTCTTAACATCTCTATTTAGAGTCATAGACCACCTTATTGCTTATGAACTTACTGTGTTTTCACAAGACCCCTAGAATGTCACCTATGAGATAGCCTAGTCTAGGGCCTCTCAGACATTATTCCTTGAAGTAACTGCTAGGAGCAGCATGGGGCTGTGACCATCTACCACAGGGTACAGAGTTCTCATCTGAGGGACAGACGGTTAATGAGGACGTCATTAGATGCCCAAGTTTCCTCTTCAGAATTCATGTAAAATGTGCATCTCGATCCATAATGCATCTGTGGCTGTGTTGTACATTCACTCACTGTGTGCTCTCCTGTGCCAGACTGTGCGGGGTGCAGCGAAGAGACAGTGGTGAGGCAGACCCACACGGCCCTGCCAAGGGGGCTTCAGATTCCAGGAGGAGAGTAATTATGAGGGAGAGAAGGACAAGATGTGGGGGAGATCATGGTACAGTATAGGATGCTCAGGGAACTCCTCCCTGAGAGGCTGACATTTAAGCTGTGACCCTCACAGTCAAGCCAGGAAGAGTTGGGGAGGGGCAGCGGCTGCTACTGCTTACTATATTTTAATATAAAAGAACATTTCTCTGCAATCTATTTACCTAACTGTCTTTCCCCCAACTTAAAAAAGAATGTAGTAAAATTGACCTC